TTTCCCACAATCGGTCCTTAAAACAATTATACACAAACACAGCTATTGAACATTGTAGGTACTTTTACGTTTGTCGCCACAGCACCAGGCCCAGAACCTGATTGTAGTTTCGCATATGGGCTGTGGTGCTGCCAACAGCTTCCTTTGGGTTCCCCATGTGCCTCATCCCAACAGGGACTGGCGTAATCACCTGCATCATCGCACTATCCCCCAGAATGTGCCCCCTACCCCTCCAGAGGGGCAATGCCAGAAGGAGACAGTCAATGGCATCCGGCGCCAGTGGGAGGGCTTGGTTATGCATGAAGTGTGAGCCGAGTGACTGGGGTCTCATGGGATCCGGGGCTGGAAGCTCCACCTCATACGCTGAAGTCGTGTCATTGTGGCACATTGAGGGTCCAGGGCTTTTGCTCTGGGCACCGTGGGAGAACCGCAGCACCAGTGGATGGAGTAGTCAAGGGATATGGATTTAATAGTGCCACAGATGAGATGTACAGTAAAGATTAACACAGTGTATCTGCAGACAGTTTAGCAGAGGACATTCACATGAATGGTTCACTTGCTCATACATACGGGAAAGTCCCTCAAATCTGGGGATGACTCATTAAGTCAACTTTTTCTTTGCCACGTCATTCCGTTCATTCCCTACTAATATTTGTTTTACGTACGCCCAGTTTTTAACAGTCTGAGGTGAAGCACTGTATTAGTCTCGGTGCTAATATTATTCCACAGATTTTTATGTTTTTTTTATATATATATATTCAACGGAGCCCCTGAGTCTGATTTTAATTATGAGTTCCACAATAATGACATAAAATCTGGGCTGTGTAGCTGAATGGGAAATCCGAATATGCTCTACTTCACACTGTAACGAAATGTCACTTGGCCAAAGATCACGTATCCCTTTGATTGATTTGTTTCAGCCATATTTTTTGGTCCAAACTGCTGTTCTACTACTATGCACAATATATGCATTATATTATATTATATGAGAAGAGGAGACTTAGGAACACTGCTCCAAGCAGCAAATGTCAAGACCATCACATTACTTCCCGTGGAACATCCTCTGCAGTCGTTTCCAGCAGAATTCTTAAAATTCCGGAATCGGGGTGCAGAATAATTTGTTGCGATGAGGGTGCTGCATTGTTAGTGTAGCAATACTGTTTGGGTTTCTAATGGGTACACTTGAACTCTGACCCTGCGGCCGCACTCTCAGAGAGGCCAGGCATTCAGTCATTGTACCTCAGACCAAATGATTGCAAATTGCTTTCTTCTGGGAGGTTCCTTTGCTCCTTTGTTCTCCAGATGAAATTTATTAAAAGGCGTCGGATCGGACAAAATGGGGGCTAGACAATGTGGCTTAGGGGCGACACAGAGACCATTTTGCTGAAGGATTTTGAGATAGTTTGAGGGGTGGAGCCTTGGCCGGCTCCTTTTGGCAGGAACGCTCACACAAAGGGAATTTAGGGACATGGTGAATAGATTCCCCGGAGAAAAGAGTTCTGAAAATGGCGTTTAGATTGTCTCCTGTCTTTCGGGGTAACAGAGAGAAGCTGGTGCCTTTTTCTTTTACCCCCAACTATTTAGTGATGATTCATTAACAATCTGCTCAGAGTCTATGTGACACGACTCCGCCGGGGAAGGAGAAAAGAGGTCAGGGCCCCATTGGCTGAGGACTGGGACGAGACCAGGGGACACTGACAATGCAGCCACATATAAAACAAACAGACCTATTTGGAGGCACCGTGCCGACATCCCATAATGATCCCCGTTTAAAAAAACTGTTCGGTTGAGTGGTGGTGTCATGGTCTTTGTGCTTCTGAGACACGCCGTCGGCTGGGATAGCTCTTTTTATAAGATCACGGAGATGAATTCTCACGACTGTCATTTACTTATACGCAGAAGCTAAACTGTTTGGCCGGCGTCTGCTTTCCCATAATGGGCTGGTAAGGAGTGTGGCTTCGACGGGCAAGGCTCCATTTCCTGAGGATCCTTTGTGTTGAGGGACCCCAGCCACATCCAGAAGCATCTTCCCAATATTCGTCCCTGAATTGCTCCAGATGCTGCAGACTCAGTCTTATTGGGACACGTTAAGCAAGTGGGATTTTCGGATGCGATTTTTTTTTTTTGGCCGGGCTCATGGGGAGCATCTGGCCTTAGGCAGGACAGGAGTCGGATTCGCAGTCTGCGCGTGGGCCAGACCGGAACGTGGCGACCTCCGAGGAAGGGGGTTAGTGCTCAGGGGAGATGGAAAGAGCGCAGACGGAGCCAGAGCAGAATCATAAAAACCGCTGCTTCTGTGTTAATCTGGGGTCAGAGGAAGACCCCTAATTAATATAGTGGAGCACCAGACCAGTTTGGGCTGCAAATGGAAGAAGGTGGAAGAAGCAGTGAGAGGCCACTTCTTCACTGAGCTGTTACAAGAGCGTCCAACTGGGCCAGATCAGATTAGGGAGGCCAAGGCTGTCTGGACTGGGACAAGCACACTGTCCTCTGTCATTGGCTTGATAGACTTTTTAATTCCCATAGGAAACCCCCCCCCCCACTTGTTATTCTCAAGCATTAAGAATGGGGGATCATGTGATAGAGGAGTTGTCCCCTCCATTGGTCAGTGTTGAACTGCACAGCCATGTAGATGCAGGGTGATTAAACAATGTGAAATGTCGACTTTCTTCACAGAGTTCAGTCCCTTCAGAAAGAGAATGGAAATATTCCTCTCGAGGAGTTAACAACTTATGATAAAACTGAATGCAAAATTACAGTGGGCTTTACTCCAACTATCCCTTTAACTAATTTGTGTCAATTAAGGATGAATGGACAGTGGCTCCAGAAGGCTGTCAGACAATTATTTTAAGAAATACCTTTACCCATGGTATAGCAGAACCATACACATGCATGAACTAGACTCGAGTTGTTCAGAAAATCTTTTCGGTTTAATCTTAAAACCAAAACACCGCCGACTGAGCATCCTCTGATTCCCTTCCTGAAATCCCATCCACCTCATGTCTTACAGTTATCTTGGAATGCTGATATGTGTGCCCATTTTAACAGTTTATACTAACAAGACATTTTCTTTTCATTTTAAGGTCATTGTTTGTCTAACGGATTGGTCCATTTCAGTAACCAACAAGCAATCCGCACGCTACCATTTCTCTGAGAAGGAGTCATTTGCAATATAAAAATGGATTGCAATATGTATTTCTGTGAAGGTATGTACAGTTTGTGTACTAGAAACCAGCTTGATCTTTCTGAAGACTGAGATATTCAAGGGAATGATGGAAATTGTAGCATTATAGATGTTTTGTTCAAATTTGCTTGTTACTATGAAACCAAAATAACATGATCATCGCACAGTCATTTCTTTTCTGTGCCAGATTGTGAGACCGCTGTGTGGGTGGCTGAAGATGCTCCAGTTTGTAGGTTTACGTCTTTTTTCCCATTTGGTACTAGACCCTGTCAATCATTTACACCTGCTTGTAGGCAATCTTCATTACGAGCCCTGTTCAAAACACCCCCCCCCCCCCCCCACCCCCAAGGAGTCTCCCTGTAAAGATACCCAAAGGCAAAATATTAAAGCTTTGAACTTTTGTAAAGTGAATTTTAATGTCCCACATGACCTTGGCTGGGATAAGCGTGTGGAACATAGCTAGCCCAGCGTATAAGTGACTTGGGCTTTTTCTCATGTCTAAGAGTAGAATTCTACATGAGGGGATTGAGGATGTACAGCAGGTGATGAGTGACACTGCTGTGGATTCTTTTTGCCACTCGTATTGGACTGAGGGCTGTTCTCTGGTATGTCCCCCTCACGCTGTTGGGAGTCTGGACAGAGTCGGAGTGTCTTTGCTGCAGCAGGTCTGCCATGCTTAGAGGGGTCTGTTACTTTACAGATGTATCACTGGATTGTGGAACAGGAAGCCGGGATAGATTCTTGGCATAGCGGTTTAGGTACTGTTGTTTGTTGCTGCTGCAGTTTATTCTGATATTTTCAAACTTTTGTATGTGTGTGTTGGGGGAGGGGGGGTGTAACTGATCCTGTTCAGCGGTTATTTTAGGCTTGGTTTTAAAAAAAAAAACTGCATTGCGCATCTGCCTCTTCGTTTGCGTTTAGTGCGTACGGCAAATGGAAACTTAAAACAGAAATTAACGCGGGACTTTCGCATTCCTCTGTTCCAATGCCAGTTTATGGTTAAAAACATCACTGGGGTCTCAAATTCCTACAACTTATGTGGCAACCATGTGCATTGGATTTTTTTTGGGGGGGGTGGTGTGGGGGAATTAGGTCAAACGTTTATAAAACAGCGCCACTATAACCAAATCTCGTTTTACCAATGCTTTTCATTTTTTTCCTTTTAGGAACTGCCCATTAATTTTGCAGTTATGAATGAACTCATCTTGCCTGAATGCTTCATCTTATGCATGCGTATCACTGTCCTCAGAGCGCTTGCGGGCGTTGACTGCAGTAACAATGCAAAATATGCGTAAAAAATGCCTCGCTTATTCTAAAAGAGTGATAATTTGCTTTCATCGCCGCGCTGCTTTTCTTGGCCAGACTTTTCCCTTTTCCCTTTGGGCGACTGTAAAAATCTCATACAACAGTGACGCGCGAGGGTTAAATAGTTATTTCATTTCACTAATTTGGAAACTATTATGTATGTTGACGCTTAAATTACAGAGCGACACTAGCTCACTAATTGTTTTATTTTAGGTTATTATCGTAACGGAAATAGTAATTTGGTATAACTTTAATTTGCCAAACACAGCTTTTATTGGTTTACGTGTATGTTAAACATTGTATTACATGTGACGTTTATATAGCGACATGGATGTGTTTTATTTTTCTCAACGACAAATACGATGCCACAGGATGGTTTAAAAACCGTGTCGTTCCCTCAGAGCGTGTGGGCCAGCGGCTCGGGCTTCGGGGGGCTGAGCGTCTTTTAAGGACGTGTGTGTGTGTGTGTGTGTGTGTGTTTCCAAAAATGAAACCCATGCAAAGCCCCCAAAAATGTCCCGGTGACTTCAGATCGGAGGAGGTGGTCAGATCTGCGGGAGCACGATTCAAACTGGGGAACTTTCGCTTCGACTTATAGTTGCGCTTCAAGTCTTGGGATCGGATGCACTTATTTAAAATTCTGAAAAAAAGAAACTGGAGAAAAGAGCGTGCAATGCAACTAGTGGATAACTAAGCTCCATCAGTGAAAGACTTTGCAGACTCCATACAGACGACAGACATTTTTTTTCATTTCGTGATAACATTTTATTTAAATTCGCACGCGCTGACGATACAGCCTTTCGGCAGGCACGCTGCAGGAGACTCTTACCTGTGCATTATGAAAACCAGGAATCAAAGAAATCTGCGTTATTGCGTGCATATAAACTTCTATTAACAGCTTTCTTTTTCCTCTCCCGACTGAGCGAACATCCCAGAGAGTCAGTGAATGTGGATGATCTTAGTTTAGAAGTGGATTTTGTGAAATAAATTGATTTTAGTAACACGGGACGAACTATTTTGCTGGCTGTTTTGGCTGAGTTGGGAAAAATGAACCGACTGTGGGTTTTAGCCTTTATTGCTTCAGCATTTTTGCAAATACAGACGTCTGACAGTCAAAGGGAGCCGACAGGTGACCGGCAAGAGGACACGGGAGCGCGGGTTTTGCGAGACCGACCTGGATTCCACAATAACGGCAGGGCGCAAACCAAAGGGGGCTCCTGGCCACCAGATGAAAGCCCACACAGGACGCAGGGCGGTGACCTGCGATCGGGACCGGGGAGCCCCCAAAATAGCGCAGCGGTGAGACAGGGACACAGACCTGCTGTTATGGGTGACAGCGCCGCGGCGACCCGTGAGACTGACGCCCCCGTATCCCGCTCTGTCCCGAAACCGCGGACAGCGAGTGTTTCATCTCGGCAGGGATCGCGGATCGCTGCCAGGCAGAGCCCCGCGGAAGTCGGAGACGGCGCCCCCCCTCCGAGGCGCCTTACTGGGTAAGATGCCACATCAAATGACGACCATAGATAAGCAGCATCATCTCCTCTTCAGTAATGATCGTGACATCGAGCACGCTGCATGTTCATTGAGGCGCATACACAGCGTCTTGGCACGGTACATGCTTCAGTTTTGTATCAGTTCCTGGGTATAATTTCAGTTTATGTAGTGGTAACTTGGTCAGCGTGAGCTGCAATTTGAGGCATCCGCATGTTGTGGACTATTTCTGCAAAGCAACGCTGTCACTCTTCAGTTATGCTTTCACTTGTCAACTACAGGACGATCAACTAGCAAATTAATTGACATTCTTCGCCACCGGTGTCGAATGATCCTGATCATCCACAACTGGCCGTTTCTCCGGTGTCAGTCTTGGATTAATGCACATGTAAATAGGCTACTGTACTGTAATTTTGAATATGAAAATAAACATACTGTACATGTGACTTACATTGCTACGTACCGTAACGCGTCTCAGGAATTGTCTCGGATAGATGTCTTCGGACAGTTTGGTCTTGTTTTTTCAGACATCACTCGTTCAGCTGGGAAACAGTGAAAGCGCTGATAAATTCAGATTAGTGTTTTTGGCAAGGCTTTCTGCCTTGTTGTTTGGATAAACTGTAAGACTAAATAGTGTTCTTGCAAATGACATACAGGTTTCCGATGCTCCGTGTCATACCCAATTACGGTACTAAAGGTGTTTATGGCCTCAATTTTCTTCTATTAATAAAATTTAATAATGCATTAAGATCACTTTTTCCACCCTGTCGTGTTATAAGACACATAAACGGTGTGTAATGATTGATATTAATCCCGTGTATGTTTCTAATTAGGAAATCAGTTTTTTTTTTTCAGTTTTGAACGTAAAAAGTAAAAAGTTATGATGAATCAGATCGGTTTGTTTAGCCCGACGTGTTTCATCCGTTCTTTGGAAAAGCTGTTAATGGGCAATTTCTACACAGTGCTGGGAAGCATCAATGAATTTCCTTATGAAATCTGGAATCCTTTTTAGGGGGAGAGAGGCATGGATATTTGGCTCAGCGCATAGCAGAGTGCCTTGGCTGGTTATATCCAAGGCTGCAGCGGTGTCCCACACTTTTGCTGAACAGCTCTAAAAGCACGCTTTGGGATCGCACCCCCCCTGGCCCTCTGTCAGACTGAACACTTGCCTGTGCCACACTCCTGTCTCCCCACTCGACCCCTCCGCCCTCTCCCAACACCCCCATCTGCCCCATCTGCGGCTGGGTTGCCTGCTGGCTTGCGGACTGACGAAACGCACCCATCACGTAGTAATTGGGAGAATTTTTCCGGTCTGCGTTGGTTACAAAGACAGTTCCTTTCCCCACCCACCGGATCGAAGGATGTTTAACTGCTGTTTCAGCTCAGTATTCAGGGCAGCTTGTAAATGTGCTGCACCTACCCAGAGTTGAATGCTGGGGGGTGGGAGGCTAGTGGTGGAAATGTTGTCGTATGTCTCTTGCGGAACAGATGCGTTCGAATGTGTCGCCCATCTAGACGCGTCATAACCTGAGAGCCGCGGTCTCAGACGCATCAAAAGCGAGCGCAGGTTTCGCTGCGTTTCCAAAAAGCTACGGTGAGTTGCATTGCCGCTCCACTTCTCAACTCCTGCCGTGGGTTTGCCCCCCCCACTTGGCTCCGACCGCCGACCGCACTCTCGACGGCCGCCTGCGACATTTCGCATGGCCCTCTGTGCGGGCCGGGGGCACGGACGTGTGCACGTCGCTCCCAGCCGCTTCTGGGAGTAGGTGGGTGGCTTTGTGGAGGTGTGCTGGTCCTGTGCCCAGGCATATAACTGGCCGCCGGGAAATCCCTAATCCGTTACCGCTCCCGTAACCGAGGGTACCAGAAGCTTACGGGAATGGTGTTTCGCAACGAGCTCAGTGAGATACTGTGACATTTTTGTAAGTCTAGTGTTTAGTCTCTCTCTGACTCATTACCTTTATGTGAAACATCTGCTGCTGGGGGGGTGACCTTCAGTACCAGTGGCAATTTTTCTCCAGCCTGTTCCTTATACTCCTCTAAGTCTCTAAGGGATTGGAGAGCATGCCCCATGCTGACCTGCTTGCATGCTGCATGCTGACTGGGCTGCAATTGAGGTGCAATTGCTGAATCAGCATGAGTGGCTGGTGGGTGTGGCCCGTCATGGGGACCTGGCAGTGTTCAGTGTTGCTCATATGACTCTGTGACTTTCCCGTTCAATCTGGAGCTTGGTGTGGCATTTTGGCTGCCATTGGGTTGCTTTCCTGTGGCTGCCCTGCTTTGCCCGTTTGTTTCCATTCACTCCAGTTTAACTGGTGAAGCTGGCAATGGCTGTTCGATTTCTGCACCCGCTGTGTTTCACGACTGTAGTATATATGCTGATGGATGATAAATGCTGATCTCAGCGGACGGTCAGTATGGACCATCTGTAAACTGTTGAGACCCCTTACCTAATGGAAGCCCGTTGTTGTTCATTGCCAAACACCAATTTGAGACAAATATAACAAAAAGGTTTTTTTGGGGAGAGGGGGGCGGTTGAAACTTGTAAATGGGGGCGGAAAGGCATCTTTTTTTCACACAAAAACATCTGTTTTACAGAGTGACTTTAATTGCTTTCCTGTCAACCGTAGAGAACTTGGAAGCATATTACGTACAGTAAACAGAGACAATTAGCTTTGTTGGACTGCAACTTTTAATTTGGAAGGTAGTGGGGGCTGTTCCTTACCTTGATTGTAATAAGTGGCCTGCAAGTCTTTGAAAATGTGGCTCATTTCCTTGCTGTTGAGGCTCGATATTTCTTGTGTCATGGACGGTTAAGCCCTTCGCCGCTTAACCCTGACCTTGCCGTAGCTTAATCGTCATTTATCGGTTAGTTTAGCTAGCGGTTAGCTCGGAGATATCTGTGCAAGCTTCTGTCGGTCTCGTAAATGGAAGCCATTTTGCAAGATTATGTCACAGAGCTGCACAAGGAAACTGTATATGTTTGGATGACAGGGATCGCTGGATCCCACTGTTACGCTTCCCGAAAGTGCAGTGGGAATGGCAGACACGGGAATGCTCTGCCCCATTTTTCTTATGATTATTACCGTATATATTGGCCGACGGCTTGAAACAGGGTATGAAATAGCCATTGACATGGTAACGTTAGTAGAGTGCGAACATGTAGCCAAAATGTTTTTTTTAATCCCTTTTAACGTGTTTCTGCACCGTCCATCTGCTATGGATATAGTTTCGGTTTTCCCTTGATCATTTAAATCGGTGGCCCGTTTTGTCGTGATTCGAAAACGTTACCATCTGCTGGGAATCCTGGAGCAGCGGCTTGCACCAAAAGCCGGCTTTTTGCGCAGCCCGTGACGTTGGGTTCTTTGGGCACTGTGTTCCGTGGATGCTATAGGGCTGATACATTTCTTTTAGTGGGGGTGTGTGTGTGTGTGTGGGGGGGGGGGTTATACCACCACAGAATGGCCTGTTCTGTTTGCCGGGTTTATTTTACGAGGTGGCTGCGATGTTCTAAAGATGCACGCTGATTGTTTTTAACGTGTTTATTTGTATTCAGAAGGTATGAACACAGGCCATAAAGATCCAACAGGGGTCTGTTTAAGTGTATTCAACTTTTTCAGAGAAGGCATCAAGCTTTCGACGGTCCTTGCAAGGCTGATGTCGACTGATACCATGGGAAGGCGAGTTAGTCACTAAAGCCTATTATGGAGGGGTTGCTCACTTTTTAGTTTGGTAAGTTTATGGACTCCTGTGGTTCACAGCCACCTTTGAGGCAACCCATGAGAGATGTAATCCAGAAATGGTTGAAAGAAAGCAGTCCAATGTCCACTGAGCACTCCACGGGCACATCCTCTCGATATAGACGGCATCGGAGGGCTTCAGTGCATCAAACTATGTGAGGAATTCAGCATTACAGCCTGAGATCTGTCGTCTTTTGGTATTGTTTGGCTTGAGCTGTGGGCTGCTTTTGTGGTCCGTACCCCTCCCTTTGTCCCAGAGAGACTTCTGAGTGCTACGTCAGCTTCACAATAGCCTCCGTGTGTCAGTCTTGCTGTCACAGATAGGGTTACATCCTCAGTGGAAAACTGTAATGCGGTCAAACAGAATTATGATAGTTTCTGTAAGGTATACCCTTGCTGGGCTCTAAGGCTTCAGAATCACTGGACACAAATGGCTGACCTCATTCGCCGCTGTTGATCCTCAGATGTATATGTTCAGGAGTCTCTGTACTTGTTTAATAGATACTCCTCTTTCTCTTTAGAGCCAACGTTTGTGGAGGACAGCACTGCTGCTCAGGCTGGGCCGTGGCTCCAGGGACAAATCGCTGCATAAAGCGTAAGTATTCCTGCACACTCACCACCGGAATCCATTCGACTTTAGAGCTATGTGCTTTGACTCGTCTTTAGCTCACCTTTGACTCCTCCCCCAAATGCATACTCTCTGGCCTTCTTTGTCTCACTCTGTCTTTCCTCCTCCTTCGAGCAAGTGGCGTTAATAATGGACTTTACCCTATGAAGACCAGAGCTGAGCTTCCAAGATCTATAAGTGAATATGAGCTTGTTGGGGAACAACTGCAAATGTTCACACATTGTTTAAATGTTAACGTTTCATTCGTTCTTGAGATCTGACCCCTTTTAGCTAGCTAAAAGTACAGGTGCCATTACCATTGAAGCATGGCTTAATGCAGGACAACTCTCTCCAAATTTCCTTCTAAAATAAATATGACTCAATTTGGACCTTTCTTAGAAGCTATGGTGAGTGTCAAGGCAGACAACTGTTTATGTGTCAATTATACCGACTAACTCTTTATCTTCAGCTTCACAGCTCTGTCATTGATTGCATGTGGCCTTTTCCATTTTGAATGGCTCCACTTTGGACAAAATCGGCCAATTAGCATGGCTAAAGAGTACAAGCTTACCCAGAGAACATAAAAGATGGATGAGGAACCTGAAAAGAACCTAGTATGAGATTGTTAAATGTTTGCTCCATGGTGTCAAGAGTCCAAACAAAAGCATATAAAAGACAAGTGTATGACGAATATTTCCACCATACCCCGTCTTTGTGTGGTTGAGTGAAAGGTTGCCGATTCAGGGAGATTTTTTTTTCATTATAACATTTCACCTGAACTGCCCCTGTAAAACCAGAGGCTCTGTAAGCGTGTTTAGTATGTGATGCTTGTGTTTCATGTGCAGATACACAAGTTGACAATGACGCAGTGCCTGTGACTGTTTTTCCTCAAAATGTGGGCCAACTGCACGTTTCCAGCCAATTTGTCATGATTTTGTTTTCTTATACGTTTCTTTGAGAACCTTCTAGAAGCCTCTGTAGATTCTTGTTACATTTGTAATGAGCTTCACTTCTGGAGACATCTGCGGCTGTTAATTAACATCCGCGCCGTTTCCCCAGGAGCGGTAATGAAGCAAAAGCCCAACAGTGTTTTTATTAATGGGAAAGTCGAAGTCTGTCTGTTGACATGGCGGAACTGTAAAAACACGGGCCTAGCGGACGAGCTGTGCCGTGGCTCCCGGCACCAATGTGGGCCGCCCGCCGAGCTTTACAGAAGCACGTAGGCGGCGCTCTGTGATACTTTTCTTTCCCGGGAGGGGAAAGATGGATTAGGTTCTGCCTTTGCCATTCATCTGACCCGAGGAGTGAGCAACGCTTTAAACATCACCTGGTTCCCTTCTGTGTTCTGAGGACGCGTCAAAGATCTCGACTGACTGGGAGCAACCCCCTATGGCCCCTGGAAGGCAAAAAGTTCTATCACGGGCTTTTTGTTTACTCTGTTCGTACTCCCATCTGCACCAATCCCCTCTGTCAAGAATGTCTGGGCAAGATGCTAGCCTATAGCATTGTCTTAACAATAATAATAATAATACAAAAATGTAATACATTGTGCAGGTATTTGGAGCAATAAGAGTGCCTGTTTTTTTGTAAAGCCGTTTGAAGTTAATTTTATGGTGTGGAGGTTCAAGAACAATAGGTGAATGTGGGAAAGGCCAAACCCAGGAGAGGAGGAGGTGCCACCAAGGTGTAGCTGAAGCGAGAGAGAGAAACCGGTGTGGAAAAAGAGGGAAAAAATGAGTTGGCAAGATGGAGGGAGGGGAAAAAAACACATCGCTTTCTGCCGTTTCTGTCTTCCGCTGGGGGGGGGGGAACGGCGGCTTCTGTCTGGAATCTCTAAAAATTGCCGGGTAAATGGGTTTGTTATTCCCGTTTCAGAAAGTGACTAATTACGAGGCAGTAAGGAAGCAGAGCAGCAGTCCTGCCTAACGACGCTGCCCGTAACTCGCCATAACGACGAGGAAATATAGCGACGGCTATTTTGAAATGTCACCAGCTGGTTAAGACTGCGGGGTTTTCTGAGAACGAGCACCAGCAGGCGAGAGTCTCTCTCTCACACCACGCTCAGTCTGATGTCCTCTCACTCTGGCACTCCCTCCCTGACTCTCACTCCTTCACACACTCACTTCCTCTCAGCCTCACACCTCTCTCACACTCTGCACTCTCACTCTCTCTCCACTGCCAGACAGGCAGAATATTTGGCAGTTGTACCCATAATGAAGGGAGAAAATACCAATCTGGGATTCCTAAAAAGCCCACTAAATCCAGAGGCTGCCTATTGGGGGACTGGGTGGGGGTGGGCTGCAGTTGGGGGGGGGGGGTCTATTCTGTTCTTCACTGTCCTCTCTATGCATTCATTCTAACTCCAGCTTTTTGTGAGTTGGCAGAGTCTTTGCTCATGTTTCAGGCAGATGGATTAGAGACGGGCATTGCTGGGCACTGTCACTCACTGCGTGCAGTAAATCATGCCGTCGGTCCACGGGCCTTAATGGCGGCTCTGATGGCTCCATTTATTCCCGGCGGCCGCCAAGGCATGCAGCACGTCGGGCGAGGTGTGAGTAAAAAAAATTCTGGGGGTGAATGGGCGACGTAATTCACCATCACGTTTAACCACGAGCGAGAACTGCAGTGCCTTCTCCTGGAACAGTCTAGTTGTTTTTACGTGAACTTTATTTAAAGCTTTTCTACAGTGCAGTGTCTTCCACTGGAGGCTTAGCCTGAGTGCTTGTCAGAGCTTCAACCTGACTGGATTTGGCCTGGAATTAATATCGCTGCAAAAAATCCTTCCATCCTGCTGTGCTTCTGGCCAGTTACAGGAAATAAGCAAAAAAAGGTCTGTGATGTGCATTTTTTAAATTTAAGACCTTTCCTAAAAGTTTGAGAGATTTCTTTCTGTGTTGAGGCACCATCATTTGTTTCATATGGAAATTACGGGGTCGGCCAATAACCGTCTTTTTTGGTCAAACTGGTATATTTACGTTTTTTACGAGCACAGGCACATACACAGAATTCAGGTCTGTGTTGTAGCGCGAGGGAGCCAGTTGTCTGAAGGGGTTGGTCCCTGTAGAAACACATCCCACGTTGAAGAAAAAGAAAAATGCCCCCCCACCCCAATATTACAAACATCTTATTACTGTAGGCCAGTGTTTCTCAATTTGGTCCTTGGGGACCCACAGCTGGTCCACGTTTATTGCTCCCAACTGCCAGGAGTTGGGAAGGAGCAAAAATGTAGACTGGTAGGGAGCTTGGAGGGAGCAAAACCGGGGCCAGCTGTGTCCCCAAGGACCGGATTGAGAAACACTGCTGTAGGCCATTGACTCTCCTCATTGGCTGCTACATTCCTTAGACATGGTTCGTTAGAGACTTAATAAAAGTAATGACTAGGCTCACATCTCCAAGCCATAGAAGCTGCTTCTCCTATCCTGTTGCACCTGGGACAAGGTCTGACCCAACCCAGTCCTGTGCGTCTGGCTTATTGACACGCCGACTGCATTATAAACTCTGGAGTGGTGTCGGATTCTCTGAAATCACACATGCAAAACTGCATTTTAGCAGTGTTTCTTTTCAATTTTCTTAGAGCCCCCATCCTTCATTTACTCTTTCTTAAAATCTTGGCCCCCACCCAGGTGTGACCTCGCAATGGGCAGAACAATCGCTACCCCACGACCTGGACAGATTGGGGATCCCTTGTACTGGGACATCTGGCATGGCAGGGTACGCGTGCTTGGTCCACAGGCAGTTCTTTGGGCACCTTGAATGAGCAGCTCAGGTCCAGTAACAGGAAAAGCTGCAGGTGAAAGAAACGGTAGAGAAGTAAAGGAAACAAGATAAAAAAGAAAGATAATTTTGAAGAGAAATATAAAGAAGTCATGGGAGTTTAAGCCACTGGCTGATATGAAAACTGGCAGAAAATGTTTTGCCTCGTTGGGATATTTGGTGTCCTGAGGTGCACTGATTTGATGCCCCCCTCCTCCCCCCCCCCCACCGTGGATCATGCAGTAGTTGGGCGGGTTCCCGGCTCTGCAAGCGTACCGATACAGCTTGTTTGATGTCTGTCCAGTGAGCTCAAAAAGTCATTTCTGAAAAGATCGATTTTGAAACAGACTGGGTTTGCTGGAGCGGGAGAGCCAGGCGTATAGGCAGAGATCAAAGGTCTGCTTAGCGACAGGGTGCGGCTGTCAGCGGGGAAGAGGCGCTGGCGTGTTTGGAAGAGAGTCCCTGACCCTTCAGCCACCTGGGGCTGGGCGGGGGGTGGCGGGGGGGGTGAGAAGCGGGGCAGGGAGATTGTCCAGATCCATTGTGGGTTTTCCTCCCTCTTCGATGTCCGTCGGAGACCTTGTGTGAAACGGAGTGTGTAATTCCAGCAGAAAGTATTCTGAGAGGCTTAGGACAAAGGCTCGTTGATTCCTCCCCCGATGAGCTATGTGAAGAATAGTACATTTATTCAAAGGTTATAGTGTGATTATTACTCTTCAATTGGGGCAACCATTAGCTCACGCATTTTCCTTTAGGGTAGGAAAACCCCTGTAATCTCCCTGAGTAATTGAAATGCCATCATCCGTGAAGATGAAAAGATGCAATGCGAGAGAGTATTAGTTATGGCTGAGTAAGACGATTCCGTAAGATGGTCAGATAGTGCCGCGTTATGGTTCCGATATGCAGGTAGCTATTATGCTGGGGCTGCACCCCAAGTTCACAAAAGGGGCCTCGTCGCCCCTCATAAGTAACGACGGTGGAATTCCTGCTTTTCTCAAAGTGATGGTTAGCAGACGGCTCTCCGCTCGCCTGGTAGGTCCGTACCAGACATGTGTTCGTGCCTGTTAGTATGCCAACAACCTTACGTTCAGGGGAGAAGGGAGGAATCTGATGAAATCGGGTGGTCCTTCTCACAGAGAAGGGTGGGGGGGGGGTGGGCTGCAGGGGGGGGGGGGGG